TGCAAACTCAACTTCACTTTTGCTTAACCATATTTACAACGTACCGTCTCCCTAAATACCGGGTCAAGGAGGTAGTTGTAGGGACAAAAACAGAGGGGAACACGTTCAAAAAGTTTGAAAGCAAAGAAGTACGGACAGGTGTGTGCTTTGGTCATCGCTTCTACGTACTCTTCGAGATCCCAAGGTCCGTTCAAATTTAGTGCTCGAATGCATCGAGCGGCAGTACGACGATTCCTACTAAGATCAAAGGGACAAGTGCCCTTCTATGCGAGAATGTTTTTGTTCAGTATGGAGAACTAGGGAATTTACCAGATTCTGACAAGCGTCATTTACGTTCGGCTGTTTTCGAATCCCAGGGTTAATGCATGAACGCGTTCTACTGCTTAAGATACACATTCTGTATAACGATACAGTGGGACTAACGAAGAATTACTTGATGGTTGAGTACTTAGTTTTGCGTAGTTCACGAATAACTTGGGAGATTTGTTTGTGCGTTCTAGTCGCATAGATTATGTGAGGAATCCGACTAAAATAAAGCAACGTCAAGAATCAGTGAGTAAACAGACATATTCTCGTCGATTTGTCGAGAATCAGCAGCGCCGCATGTGCAGACTGGTAGAGATTTCTGTACGTTCCCTTCCATGAAATCATCAAGGTCATCGTCTAAAAATGTTTCCTAACATTGGTCTTACCCTGCTTATTTTGATTAGAGACAAAAAATTCGCAGGTATTAAGATGCACAATGCCGCCTGAGATATCTTTAGAGGGTAGAAACTAAACGGTCGCTTACCCTGCACAACCTTTTTGGACCCCTCCAGCATTTGGTGCTCTAGCCACCCAAGAGCAGCACAAAGCAATGCAAGAGTTTTCCCCGTCCCAGTTGGTGATTCTATCAAGCACCCCTGTTTGTTGTTAAGAGCAGTTATTACTCGATTCAACATAGAAAGTTGGCATCCATACGGCTTGTAGGGAAAATGGACAGAGACACCCTGTATTTTGAGGTCCATTCCAAAGTCTACCAACATACAAAACAATGGTTAGTAATCACATTACAAATGATATACACTAACACTCGTACATGAGTATTTAACAGTCACAAAGCAATTAAAGTCACGAAAATGAATAGCTAGATACAAATATCACCAAATAGAAGGCGACCTAGAAGGCAGTGTATCAATAGAATTGTTACAAACCTCCGAAGTATTAGCATCACCGAT